AAAAATATCAAAATTGGGACTGGAGAGATGGCTCGGTGGTTAAGAGTACCAGCTGCTCTTCCAGAGGGCCCAAGTTCAATTCCTAGCATCCACACGGTGACCCAAAGCATCTGTAAGTCCAGTCCCAAAATGTCTGATGCCCTCTTTAGACTTCTGGGGGCACTGTATGCATGTGGTGTAGAAACACACATGCAAGCAAAACACTCACACAATATAATGAATAAATAAAATAAATAGAATAAACAAGCAAACAAAATACATAAAAATCTTAAAATGAATAGAAATCAGAACTTCAATGTTTTGAAGACCTTTTATGACCCATTTAGAACCCCATCTTTTCCTATTAATGCCAGGCTTGATGCTTTTGTAGCATACCAGACAGAGCCTTAGTGGGAGATTTTGGCATAGCACTGACTGGTTTAGGCAGTCTGTCTTCTCTGACACTGGGAGAAAGCTCTGGTGTACGGATTTCTGACTGCTTCACTGGAAACCTCCAAAGCTGTAGCAGGCTCAAGGGTCATTCCATCATGAAACCATCTGGATCTTACAAAGTTATTTTTATTCATCTGATTTTCATGAAATGCGGCATATGATCTATGACTTCCTGGAGTATCTGGAAGAGGGTAGGGATTCTAAAATCACTCAGGTTCAGCCTTTTTTTTTAAAATCAATTTGCACATTCAGAATTGTGTTGTGGGATATTTGCACACTGTGTGAAGACGTGTTGCTGTGATGGGTGTGATGAAAAGCTGAACGGCCAATAGCTAGGCGGGAGAGATAGGCGGGACTTCCAGGAAAGAAAGAGGAACTCAGTATAATTCTAGGTATGTGAGAGAGATGCCAATAAGACATATAAAATGAAAGAAAGGTAAAAAAGAAAAAGCCACAAGGCAAAATGTAGATTAATACAAATGGATTCATTAAGCTGCAAGAGCTAGTGGGACAAGCCTCAAGTTAAGGCTGAGAGTTCATAATTAATAACAAGTCTCTGTATTTTTATTTGGGGCTGTCAGTGGAAAAGAAAGATTGAATACATCTGAAGTCCAATGTGAGTGCACATATTTCCACATAGGACCTGAGAGGGCTTAAAAAAAAAAGTCCCAAACATGCAAACAAGGAGTCAGACATTGCTTTCTGGCCTCTCAGGTGGCTGGTGCTTGGCATACAGAGGCACGGCTCCCAGTTGCTGCCCGCTAGAGTCAGCTGCCAGTGCCATGACCCAGAGCTGTGTGCAAAGCTGAGCTGTGGGGTGCCTGGCGTGGCAGTTTAAGATTTGTCATGGGGTCATAGAACGATGCAGGCATGTAGTAAAGCCAGGTCCAGACCCAGAAACCTTCTAAAACTAGTACAGTATGTTTAAACATGTGCTTAGATGCTAAGGAAAGAAAGGAAAATGGGTATAGACAAGCCATAGAAAATAATAAATAGTTTAAAAATAATAAATGTAAAGCCTTTAAAGAAAGAGCAAAGCAATATAAAAGGAAAGAGCCATATAAAGGTGGGAAGTATATACAGGCTGTCTGGATCCTATGGTGCTTTCTTGACTTTTATCTTTTTAACACTAATGTACAAAAAGCAATAGCTACCGAGGGACAATGGATTATGGAAACTGCTGACTTAAACCAACCTATATATTTTAATAAGAACATATTAAATTCAAAATGAAAGTAAAATATATTGTGTTGAGGGAAAGTTTATGGCCTTTTCCCACAGGAAACAAAAAGTTATGGTTCTCTTCAAAATTACTAACGATCAGATTTAATTGGGGGAGACCTCCTGAAAAATCTTGGCTACAGACATGAAAAAAGAAGCCAAGACAGACTACAGGGCAGGTGACGAATATGCTGACCCCTCTGCATGGGAGCAGCTCTGAGACTGGGTGAGCCATGATAAATCTTGTTGGCTACGGAGTCCTTATGACTAGTTATTGCATGCCGCCTTTTCATATGACATGGATGGGAATTTATAATTTGGTTATACAGTCCAAACTGACTTATAAAGTTGGTAGATGCATTTTACCTTCTCCAACATAGAGCAAAAAATTATCCATAACTGACTTGTGCACACTGCACATTCTGTCCTTGTGTTAATGCAGATATATATGTTACCTTTAAAAGTTTAGGTGTTTCAGAAAAAAAGGACCAGACACCAATGAAGAGATGTAGTCAGGTGATCCAGCCCCTCAGAATGCCTCTGTTGCAGTTTCCTCAAAAATCTGCATTCAGAACAGCTTCAAAGCTGCTAGCTGAGATGGTCCAATTTCACAGACTATCCAGCCAAGACTTCAGATAAGCTCAATACTTTCCCATCACACAAAGACTGGACAACAAATGTTAGAGCTAGCTTTCCCAAGACTCGACCATTATCTCAATCTCCTTAGGGCCGCCTAAAGATGCCGTTGCCCCCAGATAGCAGGAAGCAATTTTAATAACATGATGCCCACATTTGCAAGAGGTAGGATGGATGGCCCTTGGTTGTTCAATGGATTATGGATGTTTATCATCATTTAGGGGCATTGGTTACAAATTATTGCTGGTCATGGTCAGGGAAAACATTAAAAAAAAGAATATTGGATTCAAGGATCTCTTTCTGAAAAGAAAAAAAGGGGGATATGGGAGTGATAGGAAAAAGCATAGATTATTGAATCTATTTTTAGACTAAAAAACAATTGCCAGTCTCAATTGGTCCTGCCTCAAAGCAAGGTGCTAGACTTTGTTGGCATCCCATGGGAAGACTTTCCCTCTCTGAGGATGGATGGGGGATGGGTTGTGAGGTGGAGAGTGCAGGAGGAGGGGAAGGAGTGGGAACTGGGGTTGATATGTAAAATGAGAAAAGATAGGGTTTTTTTAAAAAACTAATTTTAAAAAAAAGGTAAACTCCTTCCATTTTATTTAGACAAAGGGGAAATGTGGGATATTTGTACACCGTGTTAAGATGTGTTGCTGTGATTGCTGTAATAAAAAGCTGAATGGCCAATAGCTAGGCAGGAGAGCTAGACAGAACTTTCAGGAAAAAAACTTGGGATAATTCTAGGATGTGAGAGAGATGCCAATGAGACAAGGAGGGAGTCAGACATACAGAATGAAAGAAAAGTAAAAAAAAAAAAAAACACGAGGCGAAATGTAGATGAATGTAAATGGATTAATTTAAGTTATAAGAACTAGTAGGTACAGCCTAAACTGAAGCCAAGCTTTCAGAGTTAATAATAAGTCTCTGGGTTATTATTTGGGGCTGGTGGTAGAAAAGAAAACCCAACAAAGTGACAAGAGCTCATTCCTAGTCTAAATACCAAAATTACAAATACATAGGAGTGTCCCTTATGAAAGAAAATTCTATGGCAAAGGGAACAAATTGGGCTGTGGGATGAGGCCAGGAGAGTAGCCCTCCAACCTGTGAGTGGAGCCATCTAACTCCAAACTGTGGTCTCAGTGTGTGTGCGTTTTACTTTTCCTCTGTTTCTAGGACCTCTTTTCTGAGCCTTAACCACCTGGTGGGAGCCGCTTACCTGAAAGGTAGCTTCTGAGGAAGCTTCCGGCTTCCAGACACTTTTCTCACTGTGCCTCAGCAGCATACCATGTTGGAGGAGTAGATGCACCAAGTGACTTGGACACATATCCATTTTACAGTGGATCCCCCCCTGGCCTAGATTCAGTGAATTTTAAGCTATGGCTCTGGGATCCGTATAGAAAGCCCACTTCCCTGTGCAGTCATCCACTTAATCAGGTAGACTTGCCTCTTCCCTTCTCGTGCAACTCCCAAAGACCCACTCAGTTTATTATGCCCTACAGAGAAGGGGACAGACACTTGTTTCTGACATTTGAATAGGTTTTTCTTCACTTGAGAAAGAACCACAGTGACTCAGTAAGCGAAAGGTGATGAGCAAGATGTCAGCTGGAAAGGGGGTGTTTTACCTAAGGTGCCCATGACTACAAATCAAAGGCCAGCACGTGAGTTTAAAACCTGTGCCTTCCGTTGAAGAGGAGAAAGAAATGGCATTTCATGCTTTTGTTAAGGTAGCAGGTGAAGATACAATGAAAAAACACTGGGAAGTCATTTGCAACGTGTGGGTTACTACTAGAAATCATTTTAATTGTCGCCAATATATGGGATAAATTCCACTGTTAAGTTTTGCTTTAATTTTTTTTTAATCCCATGAGGGCAAAATTTTATTCTCAAAAGATAAACAATTACAATAGCTTTACAGAGGTTAGTTGAGATATTTCTAGAAGCCCCTAGAAAGTGGTTAGCATTTACTAACTAGCCCATTGAGGGGGATGGTCCCTGGAGAAGCCAAGAGAATCTTATTAGTGAGCTTGCATCTGTGTTCACAGCTATTCTTAGAAGACAGTGTTGGCATTTTTCAAACCCCAGTGAGAAAATCCTTAAAATATTAGCATTCAGAACTCAGCAACTGAAGAGATGCAGTAGGCAGGAATGGGAACTGGAAGCCCGGATCATGGGGGAAGACCAATTAGCATGATAAAAATAAGGCAACCACTGTGCATGAGGATTCTAAATTCCAAGAGTATTTAAAACAATTTGAGGATAAAATATAATGAAGAATCTGATTTTTAGAAATCTAGTGAGATTTTATTTATTTACTATGATTTGGGGGCATCTCAAGGGGAAGTATTTTTTAAAAGCAATTTTCTTGGCTTTTGTGTATTTTCATGAAGACAGAAACATAGATGTGTTTTTCAAATGTCGCTCCTTAACCTGTAAAATTCATATTCTTTTAAAATTAAGTCTCCTTTTGAAGTGTGAAAGATCTTTTTCTTATTTTTTTCTTTGTCCGATGATTATTAGAAAACAAAAGAAGACACCATTCCCTGCTGGTTTACTAGTTCGGAAGGCACAGGAACCGCAATAGAAGAGAACAAGAGTGAGTTCCCCGGGGGCTTCAGAGCTCACCAGACTGGATGCAGGAGGCTGGTAGCACCTGTGGCAGGACCCGGCTCTCCGCCAACCTCACCAAAGCTTAACACAAAGACTCCACTCACCACAGGCGACGGGGAGAGCGCGATGTTGCCTATCGAAGCCTTCAGCTCATCCACCGTGGCAGCGTTCTTAAGGACGTCCTTCGACTGCAATGGCTTAATCTTGATGTTGAACTTCTTGTGTGATTCTTCTTCCTCTTCAGATTCACTTGAAGAATAAAAGTGCTTTCCTTTGGTAGGTAGAACACAGTTAAGGAGACTTCGCTCTTTCTTCTGCTGAGAGGTATTGGTGAGGACAAGACAAGAATGGCTACAGGTAGACACAGCCAAAGGAACCTCAGATGGCAGGAAACCAAAGCAAAACAGAATCAAAGGAGGAAAAGGTTAGGGTTATTCACAAACCTGACCAAGGACCATGGACTCTGAGGAGTACTGGTCAAGATCCTACATTTTCTTTCTCTTTCTTTTTTCTTTCTTTCTTTCTTTCTTTCTTTCTTTCTTTCTTTCTTTCTTTCTTTCTTTCTTTCTCTCTCTCTTTCTCTCTTCCTTCCTTCCTTCCTTCCTTCCTTCCTTCCTTTCTCTTTCTTTCCTTTCTTCCTTTCTCTCTCTCTTTCCTTTCCTTCTTTTCTTTCTCTTTCCTTCCTTCCTTCCTTCCTTCCTTCCTTTTTTCTTTCTTTCTCTCTTTTTCTTTCTTTCCTTCCTTCCTTTCTTTTTTCTTTTCTTTCCTTCCTTCCTTCCTTTCCTCCCTTCCTCCCTCACTCTCCTTTTTTTCTTCTCTCTCTCTCTCTCTCTCTCTCTCTCTCTCTCTCTCCTTCATTCTTTTATTTTCTTTTTCTTTTTTTGTGACAGGTGAACATTGTGCCTCACACCCAGAGCACAGACAGGAACTCATAAACTTCCTTGTCTCCACACACTGGAAGGCTACTTTAAGGGGCACCAATAGAGAGTCTTAAGTACTTTGAAGTTGGCCAGAGTAAGACAAGGCTGCTTGAGCCTTTCAGGGGAGTGTCGGATGGAGAGGACAGTAAAGCTCTTTGCCATTCACTGTAAATGACACTGTCATATTCGGGTTCAGCAGACAAGCCAGGGTCACAAGTGTGCGGCCTGCTTTACTGCACATTTTCCTCTATCCCGTCACTTTCTCTCTGTTTCTTGACCAGATCACAGCATGTGCATGCTCATTAGCCACTCAGGCTGGCCTATAGGCTAGTCAGTCACCTGTGAGGCTAAGAATAGTAGCTTTGGTTATTTCATTACCTTTGTGAGACCTGAATTTAGCTTCCTGGTTCCTGAGACAATATAAATTAAAAAATTTTAAAAAGAAAGGATATAGCCTGGTTCTTCAGGTCTGATGCTGTAACCTTCTTCATCCAGCTCAGGAGAGTTCTGTAAGACACAAATGCACATACATAAATATGTAAATACACATACACATACATACATGTAACAGTAATAGTAAAAGAATAATTGAGAGGAAGTTGGGGGCACATGAAAGGCTGGAGGCCGGAGAGACAAGGGTGAACATGATGTAAATACAGTACTCCTGTTTCAAATTTCCAAATAAAAATGTTAAAAATGCATGTTAGGTGGTTATTTTCCTCAAATGATGGAGAAATTGTTTTCCTTCTAGAATATTCTACTTAAGAATATAGACAAGTCTCTTATTTTAAGGGGCTGAGGATTTAGCTCTTGGAAGTGAATGCTAGGCAGTCTACGTTTAAATCTTTCTCCAAGGACATTGGAAGGACCTCAATCTGCTGTCGGCAAAAGAAAGTATTTCCAGTGTGTGTATCAGGTCTTCCCTAAGCCACAGACTGTGCCAAGCAACGTGGGCTATTGAAATGCAAACTGTTTGCCCTCAGAAAAATAAAAACATTCTCCGAGGCAAAAATTATAAAGGAAAATAGCACAAGATAGCAATGTTAGGTGTTAAAAATGAGGGGACAGTTAGCTTAGTTTATAAGAAAAAGGGGGGCTACTCGAGCCTTTCAGTGCAGATAGAGATGCAGGTGGGGGTCTCTCCACGGCGGTGAGAAGAGCCTGGGGTGAGATACCATGGCAGGAACAGACATTGTGTGACTCAGGAGACAAAGGCTACAGTAACAAGGATGATGGCTATACCGTGGGGGTGGGGCTGGTGTCTGGGCAACAGTGACTGTGTGCTAGGGTGGGGGTTTAGTCTTGCTAGGGCTACTGAAGTTTCTTACAGTGGAACACGCTGGGGACAGACTGCTAAGGCAATTGGAGTCAGGAGAAAGGATGACTCATTTAAAATATGTGTATCAACTCAGGCACGATTGCTAAGGCTGTGTGTGCCTCGAGTTTTGGTGGTGGAATGGATGAACCAAGGCCATTTGGAGGGACTGACGACTTGGTGACAGGAGGAGAAAGAGGAGGGAAGTTTCCAGAAGAGCTAAAGTTCCTACCTCCGGCCCTGGGAGACAGACTGCTAGATGAATCTAACAGCAAAAAGCGAACTCTTAGGGGAGAAGTTGGAAAAGAAAAACAAACAAACAGAAAACAAAACAGAGCAACAGCGGGCGTAGTAAGGTCATATTTCACGTCTTAGCTCCTATTATTAACGTGTGACACAGTCTCATTGAGGGACATAACTCCATATGGCAATACTGAGCTCAATAACTTGAAAGTAAACTGAGCACCATCAGATAGCGTGTCCGCATCAGTCTGACTCGGTCCTTGACTCCGTGTGGTTTTAGACTGTATCCTCAGCCAAGACGAAGGAAGGACAGTGTGGGCTACCCTGCTAAGGATGGGATGGGGCGGAGCACTGTGAGCTCTCTGAGGCAAAAATGCCTTACACTGTATACATATTCTGTATGATCAGAAATCTGCGGGTCATCCAGGCTGAATGACCTGACCGCTCTGCGGTGGTTAGTGAGGTGTACGGGAATGGTGCAAGGAATTATGGGGGAACTTTAGATCGCAGCCGGGATCTACCTCCACTCCCTGAGAATCAACCGACTATCACGTGACCTGGGCAAAGTTTATACCCTATAGCTGTCAGCACGTGATCCAGGCTTAGCAGTTAACTTACTAGCCTCCACATTCAAAGCTGCTTACAAAGAGAATCACCTAGATTTGACCCGAGAAAAGGTATTTTTGGATACAGCTGTGGGCTTGGTACGTTCCTGGGATGTGCAAGCAATTAGCCCAGGTTCTCACAACAGCAGCACCAGACAGGTGCTGCATTGACTATTATGGGTCACATAACAGCGAGTACCTAGAGGGCCAGGTCTCGAAGCCAGGTTTGATAGATTTTAGTGCTGTGAAACTCACTGCATCCTAAACACGGCAGACACTTCCAAACGAAATGTAGTTTTACACGTATTTCTATGTCCTCTTGTGTATCTAAGTGCATACAATGTATCAATTCATTCCAGTGGTTGTAAACATGCTCATACTTACATATCTTTCCCAATCAATTTCCGCATAAAATCCATTTGGTGCCCCATTGCTTTTTTTCTGTAATAAATTTGAAAATAAATTTAGAAGGGAAATATTTGAATGAAACAAACAAAACAAAACAAAACTGACACCACAGGAGAAAATCACCTAAGTCTTATCTGGACTTAGAATGAGCTATCAAAATCCAGCACTGGAAAGACAGGTTGGAGCATCCTATGGTAAAAAGCGCATCGGTGTAACTGGGTGGTGAGGCAGTTGCCATGCGCTGAATGAGAAGCCTCTGTGCGTATTTCACAAGACTGCAAACCAGGCGTGGGGGCACGCATAGGTAGCCGTCCAGATTTTACCCGTGACGGACTTGGAGGGTTTACATGGTGATTGAATTTTCTAGATCTTGAGAATTAAAATCATACATAGGAATTTTAAAGGGAAACCTTTGACATCTGTGTTGCTGACATATAAATAATTCAGACATACCTGAGCATTCAGCCGAGTCAGTAATTACTTTTTTTTTTTTTTTTACCACTGACTCAATTGATAAAATATAAATGGAATCGTCTTTAGATTAGCTCATTCAGCTCCTGGTCACTGGAAATCATGCTGCTATTCTTCCCAAGTGACGCCTCTTAGCAGATTATGAAAACAGAATTTGAAGATTAATGGGCCTTCTCTTTTCGTGTGTCCTGCGCCTCCACTAACACACGCTATTGCAAGAAGATAGGAAATCAGCATGGCTCTGCTTCTTATCTGAGTTTTATTTTGGCTCACAGTAGAATTGTGACATAGGAACACAAGTACTTGACTGAGGATATGTTGCCCTCTGGGAGGATATTAGTAAGCGTCTCTATTTTGTTGGACAAAAGAACAAATGAGGTTCGCGACGAAAGGTCGACTCAACAACATTCTTGCACTTAGCACACAAAATGACACCATGTCATCGAGCAGACTTCGGAACCACACGTCTGGTGAGCCATAGGGTTGGAGGACAGGGCCTTTCATTTTGCAATCCCAAGCAAGGCCACTTGCATTACAGTGTAGCCGGCAATCCAAGTTGACAAACAGGAGGGGGCTCTTCGCATATGCACAGAGGATTAATAGAAAACCCAGAACCATCAATATCCATTAACACTTACGGAATGTTGCCTGGGTATTCTAAGAACAGGCCATGGCTCAGTGGGGGGCATAGTTCATGAGGCATAAGTGATGTGTTTTCCCTTACTGCTGAATATCACTGCAACCAGGAACGTGGGGCCTATGCTGATCAAATCATTTCCCCATTTTTTACAAAGATGACTTATATGCAGGCATCATTTTGGTCTTCCCACAGGACTGCCTTCACGAGGTTTGAGCTTCAGTGGCAGTCTGCACAGTATGTCAAAGGCCTCTCAAGCCTGTCTCACGAGCTCTGCCTGTGTGCATTACAATGCTACTGTTGAGAACATGGTCAACTTAATGTGTCAATAATCTTTCCTGCCTCCTGTTTTTATAGATGTACTTCCTGCTTCACTAATCGGTCTGTGTACTGCAAGATGCTTCAACTCCTGAGAAAGCATATATAACCAAGTTCAACAGAAAATCTGACTTATAATAATAGGGAATCAAATAAACTAAACTGACTCCAGAGACACAAACCCATGGCTATTGTTACCAGTGTAACAATGCCATCAATCTGCTTTCTAGTTTCTAAATTCCTCCATACAAAGTATTGTTATTATAAACTCGAAGAAATTAGGTAAATGAATGAATTCACGGTTTGTCTAGTTCTACAGCTTTCTTCTCTGATAATACTCTCTGTAGTTAAAGTTCCTCAAATTCAAGATATTCTACATGTTCAGATAAATATATAAATATATATACATATATATGTATGTGTTAGTATAGATATATTTTTTTCTTGACAACATATATCCAACACTTGCATAAAGAATATACTAAATTTCTATATTTGGGTCTAGTAAACATTTCCTTGTTTCTATGGACACCAATGGAAGATTGAAACAAAGGAAAAGAAAACCCTAAAAAAATTGTTTATTTTATGACAAGCATTTTAAAAACAAATACTTAATTCAAACAACAGATTGTAACAATACATTCTTTTCATCAGATACTTAGCACTCCAGACACACTCACACACACATACACATACCACAAACACACGAGCATGCATGTACACACATGTACCCATGAAACTCTATTAGAGAGACTGGCGATTCGTTCTCCTTCATGCTCATTTACTCTAACAAATACCTTTTGTTTCACATGTGAACTCGACCACGTTAAAGGTCAGCCAGGTTTTAACGGGGACTCTTCTGGTTAAGCACAAGGGGAAGTCATTCTTGTCTTTAGAGACTGAACAAGGCACAGCTCAGAGCTGGTGGCTGTCCCAGTTTTCAACAGAAGACTTTAAAGCAGGGAGGGACGTGGTGAGGACACACTGGACAGCGGGACCTAAGGCTGCAGTGAGCCCCAGCTTCCACGGAAACCTAAACACTGATTATTTTTACTTCGTGGAATCTGAGTGATATACTTTCCCCCCAATGTTTCTCTTTTCTAAAATTCTATATCTATCTAGTATAACTTTTATAACCTGAATTTTTGTACTGGACGGACACTCATGGGGAGGTGATCTTGTTTTAATAGGCATTTTACTTTATCTTACCACCTTCAGATAACGCGGTGAGCTAGCTCGGCAGTTCTCACCCTGTGGGTCCCCGACCCATGTAGTGGGATCAAACAACTCTTTCACAGGGGCCCCATATCAGATATCCTGCATATCAGATATTTACATTATGATTCACAACAGTAGCAAAATTACAGTTATGAAGTAGCAAAATAATTTTTATGATTGGGGGGGGGGTCACCATTACATGAGGAACTGTATTAAAGCGTCACAGCCTTAGGAAGGCTGAGAACCACTGAGCTAGATCAATGTTTGCAATCATGATTTTTCTCAGTTACACAGTTCTATGTTTCCACTGGGAATGGCCCTGTTTTATGTGAGGTCAGTTTACAGCTACACAATGATCTTAAAAATATGTGATGTACTGTCAAAATATTATCTTCTCTTCTCCTAAGTAGATGTAAATCACTTTGGAAACAATCTTACAAGACAGCACTGGCCACTGGAACACCCTGTAAAGAGGAAAACACCCTCTGGGTTGCTCCGTTCACAGCTACTAAATAGGAGTGGCTAGTCAATATTTGAAACCAAGTGAGACCAAGGGGCTGAATTTTAGTTAAAAAGCTTTCGAGAGCTCCATAGTTGGAGTTAATGCAAAGTCTGACCCAAAATCAGCATCCTTGACTCTAGATTTCTTGGTTAAGATTACCAGTTTCCACAAGGGACGGCCCTGCCAAACTCCTGATATTATTGCTAAAGATGGTACTTAACTTTACCAAGATCAATCCAACTCAAATTTCATGTTGACAATTATATTACAATCAAAGTCATCTTTACAAACAACAAATTCTTTTAAAAACCTGAGACACTGAAATCCCTGTCCTTTGTCTAAGACAAAAGACGATGCAAGTCTTTAGGCTTGCTCTTTCTTTAAAAGAGAAGCTAGACATCAATCCGCACATGAAGTCGTTAGGGTTGATTTGAAACCCACGCCTGGGTAGTAATTTGCAGTTACCTTGCTGAATAAGTAGTGCTATCGGGCTTTCCAGATTCGAGGTGGGGATTTTACTCACTGTTTCTACAACCCCTCGGAAATTTTAAACTAAAATCTGTGTCCTTACCGACGCTTTCTTGCCTCCTTCCCGCGCACACTCTGCTTTGCTATGGTAGGGTGGCTCGTGTGGGCTGGGCTGCTGGAATTGATTGTGTTCATGTAGAAAAAAGTTGTTAAAGGATATCTGTTTCTTCTTCAAGACATATATAAAGAATCACATGGAGTCAGCAAACATATCACAGTCGAGACAACCTCTAGACCAAATTGTGCAGCCTGCCCAGCATGGCAGGGCTCTGTAAGCAAAGAGCAGACTTTGGGGCCCCCTAAAGGAGGCTCTATTCAGCAAGCCACTTTGGCTAAGCCAAGAGAGGAAGGGAGATGCTGGGAGAGGGCCAGGGCACCAGGGGCCATTTGGGTCCTCGTTCAGAGGGCACTTAGCCTACGAATACAGAACAGACACCTAGACGATACGGAAAGGGACTGGGCCATTTCTGATTGCATCGCTAATCTACAAATGGAACACGTAGCTCCTCTCTTTTCCTCCTGTTGAAGCCTTCTGAAAGGCCAACAGAGACCCACAGGGCACATAGAGGACAGTTCCAGACCCGTGTCCTTTCCTGTCTGCATGTTTAGAGACGAGCAGAACAGCTCTCACAGCCTGGGACTCTGACCCTGGTACCCCAGCGTATTTGTGGAGAATCGGAACTGTTTCAGGAAAGTTCAGGTCTGCCCTGGACCAATTAGAGTTTGTCTCTGGGTTAGAATGGGTTCTCGCACACAGTTACCTGAGGTCTAGACATTGTGACAAACAGGTCTGCCCATGATGGATGGGTGTACATTTAGCCGGTGAGTAGCAAAACACATCCACCTTCATACCATGCAGCCCGGCCATGCAGCCTCATCAGTGATGGGCTCCATCAGGCGCCGAGGAACTGAAATTAAGTATCGCTACATTGAAGTGTTGGCACGGACTTTTTGGGTACCAACTTCTTTATAGCTGACAGCACCAGTAGCTTGTAGATTCACATGAGTGAAAGTATCAACACAAACCCTGGGCCTCGAAATGGCAGGCAGTGGCTTGCAAGGGGCCTCACACAGATCCAAGTGGTTTCAGTCCATAGATCCAAGGTTTTTTTTTTTTTTAAAAAAAAAACTCATTTTGAGTTCAGAAAAAAATTCAGGCTGAGATGCCTACAGACCAATAACAGAGATATTCACTTAGCCCACAGCATTGGGCTTCAGAATTTGGTGACCAAGTGTTTGGGAGAAATTTGAACATTTTCCAAAGAACTTGCCTCTGACTAATAATTTCCATTTTTTCACTGTTGAGAAAATGCACTTATTTTGAATTGAATGTGGCCTTTTTCCAGAATAGGTCTTGTGTTATTTCTGGAAGAAATGAAATTAAGTAATTCCTCTTTCTTCTCAACACATATTTATGGCATTTCTAACTAACAATGGGGAGGACACAGCTGATAATTAAGGGATTTTTACAGGACTTGGGATGGCTCGAGGAAGGCTCGAGGAGACCTGAATGGCATTGGGCCCATGCCTGCAGCGAACTGTACATGGTCGTCTTCAACATCAGGTACCATGGTACAGAATCCAGTAGATGTGTAAGCTGAGGCTCCTCAGAAGAGCAGAGACCAGAGAGGTCGCAACAGGGCCTCAGAGACAATGAGCAGGGGGTCGGAGAAAGAAAAAAAAAGACAAGACAGAGAGAGTGGGAGAATGAGAGAAGCCAGGAGTAGCGTCCAGGAAGGGCCGAGGAGATGACGGAGCCTGGTGAAGGTGTGGACAGAAAGACAGAAGGACCCGGGGAGAGGACCCAGCCAGAAGCAAAGAGAAGACACAGAAGCAGAGAGTACCTGAGACAGAGTTAAGGAGAGGGCTCTGAGCCAGAAGCAAGAGGTGAGGAGAAGCTGGGTCTTCTGGGCCTTTTTGTTCCCCTGCTGGATAGAGCCTGGATTATAGAGGGCCCCAAAGTCTGACCAATTTCATTCTACGTTTTCAGAAGCATTTCATAGCGAGAATCACATGAACGCAAAAGGTACCCCAAAGCCGAAACCTTCTAAGTCAAGTGCGGGAGAAAAAACTCCCGCTGTGGCTGCAATTAGCGCCCCAGTAGGTACACTGCATACGGAACAGTTTTTCAAAATATATATTTTTAACCGCGGGTTTATTTTAGTTCTCACTCTGGCCCAGGGAGCTTAATGTGTGTCCATTCCCTCTCGATGACAGCTGTTGTTTAGAACCTTCTGAATAGGCAGCTGGTTAGATGGGAAGGGAAAGTCGTTTCAGAAGCCAGGGTAGACTCGGACGTGGACCATTCCGAGCTGGCATACCCTGGACCTCTTTAAAAACCAAAACATCTGGCAGCCAGCTTGGAGACACTTCCTGCTAAATTGAAACCCAGTGGGTGCATTTTTTTTTCTCCTCCAGGCGGTAAATTTCAGGCACACGGAGTTTCAAGACCACTCCCTATTTCTGAATTTAATATAGAAAATGTATTTGCAGCCCAGCTCCTCAAGGGGAAAGTTTTATTGGGAAGCAGTTCTTCTACAACGGTGGTGCCACTGGAGAACTTTCTCCCGTAAAGAGGTTTATATCACTGAGCTGGAGATGAAACAGCAGCCAGTGAGTGCAGCCCCTGTCGTGGCTCTCTGGCTTTGGATCTGTCATCTCTGCGGCTAGTCTGCTTGTGGGCTCTGGCGCTGGGTTTTAGGTAAGCGCAATTGATAAAGTCTAACTGGATGAGGACCACACTGATTTCTCATGTATGCTTACTAGAGAGAATGAACATAGTTGGGCTTTGGAGAAGTCCTGCAAGGGAGAGGGCAGGAGGGAGGAAAGAGGAGGCGGGAGAAACTGGCCTTTGGGATACTTAAGTATAGCATATACTGAGGTGAGAACCTGCTGAAAATGGTCATTGAAATACTTACCATCCCATCTCGATCCGGGGAGCCTCTGTAACAGAAAAGAAATGGATAGCTATTACAAAAACGAACCATTCCTGCTGCAGTGACGACAGAACCACAGTAAGAACTCTTAGCCCTTGTCTTCCGCCGCCCTGTGTTCCCTCTGCAGTAAACCCAGAGGACGAAACAAAAACTACCAAGCTTAGCGACCTCTGAGTGTGGGGTAGGCACAGGTGTGTCAGAGGGAAACCCTCATCCAGAACTGAACTCCAAAGGCACAAACTGGCAGTGCCGGGCCATGGTCCACTTATCTCATAAGAGTCTGGTCCATCCATTCTTTTTTGAAAGATTTATTTTATTTACGTGCATACCTGCGTGGGGGCATGTGCAAATGTGAACACAGGTGCCCATAGGCCCATAGAGGCCAGAGAGAGGGTCAGGTTCCCAGGAACTGGAGTTACAGACAGTTGTAAGCCACCTGACATTAGTGCTGGGACTGAATTTAGTCCTCTGCAAGAGCATACTCAGCTGCCGAGGCAACTTTCCAATTTCCTCGGCCATTCTTGCTGGCTCCACTTAGAGGATCAATATATATATATATATATACACAGACAGATGTATACTCCTTTAGCTATGATCCTGATGTCTTTTATGAGGTAAAGCTTTTTTTTCCCCTGGTAGTTTTCAACCAGTTTGAGAACCTGTATCTTCTGTACTTCTGTATTATCTTTCAGTGATAGGACAGGAGGTGGAGGTGGAAATTGTGCTAAGTGGTGCCCTCTGCTGCTGAATCCCAGAACAGCGGTTCTATGGTGGTGCCATGCTAGGGTGCTCTGAGAGAAAGGGTTTCAAAGTGAGGGGCATCTGGAGGTTCAGACGTCACCATGTCCACGTTTTGTCACATTGGGCTCCTTATCTAACCTGATTAGCACAAAAAGTGAACAAGTACTAGTTTGTGGCAGCTGCCAAGAATTCAAAAGTGCTGATCCTCATTCACGGACATTTCTCCACCGGGAGCACAAACTGTCAGCTCACAGCTACACTGCATGCTAGAACAGTGTAAGCAAGTTGTTTTTGTTACAGCAGAACACAGGACTAACTAAGTGAGGAGAGGTGAAGTGGTTTGAATGAGATGTCTCCCCATAGGCTCGGGTGTTTGAATACTTAGTGGAGCCCTTGGGGTAGGTTTAGGAGATGTTCTTGCCAAAGGAAGCTCGTCACTGAGGGCGGGGCTTTGAGGTGTACACCCTCCCCAGCGCTTTCTCTGTCTCTTAGCTTTTTGTTCAAGATGTAAACCCACAGTTTCCTGCTCCTGCCACCTTTGCTTTGCCTTCACGAACACTAACTCTTGGAAACCACAGCTCTTTTGCAAGTTGCCTTGGTCACGGCAGTTTTTGAAAAGTCACTAAGGCAGAGGGGGAAGCCAGAGGGTAGCCACTGTTACTTGGGAGCATGGCTTTAATTTACAGTAAGGAACTTAAAAGTTACACGATTAGGAAGAACTAAAAGATTTGATCTTGTTTTGTTCTGAGAGATTTATTTATTTTTATTTTATGTATAGAAGCATTTTGGTTCCATGTGCACGCCTAGTGCCTGTGGAAGGCAGATGATGGTTTTGAATCCCTTCGAACTGGAGTTTCAGATGGTCATGAATCTCCATGTGGGTGCTGGGAACCGAACCTGGGTCCTCTGGAAAAAACAGTCAGTGCTCTTAACTGCTGAGCCTTCTCTCCAGCCCTGGCCAGGCAAGTTGATGCTATTTACAGTAACGTCATTACTGAGCAATGTTTAGAAATTCCTGTCATACTGTGGGTAATTCTCTGGTGTGTTGGATTATTAGGTGTCCTTTTCTTTCTCTCCTGTTGGGATTAGGGGCTTGCTGGTTTCCTGGATAGGGGTGGTGAAGGAGTCCTCTTCCCTCTACTTCTATGCTCAACTTTATTCTTTCCTGTCCCCCTGGGGTTGGGACTATCTTTCCTCACCCTTTGCATTACAGTGCTTTGAGCTTCTTCTTCGGTGCTGGCATAGATGTCATGAATTGCCTTAGTGGGGCTGGTCTTCAAATGTCCTTACTTCCCCATCGGTTTTAGAAGGATGCTTTGCTCGATATAGCAGTCTCGTTGGCAGTGATTTACTTTTGGGATTTGAAACTATCATTCCATGCTTCCCTGGTTTTTAAAATGTCACTGGCTGATGAGAGAACCAGTGTGAGAGTTTGCTGTGTTTGCCTTGTAGGGGTTGTAGATTATATATATA